ATTTGTATCCTTTACCTAAGAGTTCTTGATTTCATTTTCTTATTAACTTGAAGAAGCTCTTTATATAGTCACCACTCTTTCAAAGAGCAGTCCAAAGGTGAGAATCACTGTCTTAAGTTTTTCCTGTCTCCATCCCTCACATTCAATCATTGATCATGTTCTGTTTGGGCTACTTCATGCTCTTATCACTAATTTCACATCTTTGTCTTCTGTCATAAGCCCAGTAGTGGCATTCAGCATCTTTCCCCTGGACTCTGGTCTCACTTCCCACCAATCCGTCTTCCACATTGCTTCCAGCCTTGGTGCTATGCTTTTGAGTGCTGATGGGATTCTATTCCTTCCATTTTGTCTGAGCCTTCTTGGCCTAACTGCCCAGCTTCCCTCCTGCCAATCCCTACTGAAATCTGCTCTCTAGACCAGAGCACTGCATACCATTCAGAACAAACCAATCCTTTCCATAACTCCAAGACTTGGCATTTGCTGTTTCTGATATATGGAATTTTCTTTAATCACTGAGTTCTTATCAGATAGAAAACTTGATATTATGAGTGATGTGCTTAGGTAACTGGTATTCAAGATCCACCACATATGAGGCTCTGAACTAAAGTCTTTGCATATCATGTCTCATGATCTCCGCTTTGCAGATAAGAAAAGCAGAGCTCAGAAAGGCTTGAGACCACACAGTGTTCCCATGTCAGTTTCAGCATGCTGCCATGCTCTTCTCAGGCAAACTGTTTGGGGGATAAAAGCCCTGTGGCCTTCAGGATAAGGGGATCAGACACAAGAGCCCTCACATTTAGAATGGTACTGCCCGGGGGCTTCCTGGCAACATTTCACAGTAGCCTTTTCCCCATTTACTGCTGACATTGACTATATCTGTGGACAGAAACTGGGTTTCAGAGTATTGTGGAGAGGGTGAACCTTCCAGCCAGGTCAATTCATTTATGGTTACTTTTCCTGCTGTCATTTAGTCTGCTGACTACTTTCTTCTTCCTATTGAATATAAATGCTCTCTAATAAATGCTTTCTAATGTTCACTTGCTTTTTAGATTTCCCTGGTGGCTCAGACGGTAAAGAGTCTGCCTGTAATGCAGGAGACCCGAGTTTGATCCCTGAGTCAGGAAGATCCCCTGGAGAAGGAAATGGCAACCTAGTCCAGTATTCTTGCCTGGAAAATCCCATGGACAGAGGAGCCTGGCAGGCCACAGTTCATGGGTCACAAAGAGTCACAAAGAGTCACACATGACTGAGTGACTTCACTTTCACTTTTTAGATTTCACATATAAGTGAAATCATATGGGTCTGACTTATTTCACTAAGCATAATACCCTTCAGGCCCATCCATGTTGTTGCAACTGGCAAGATTTCATTCTTTTTTTTTAATGGCTGGGTACTATTCCATTGCACGTACATACATCTTCCTTAACTGTTCATCTATGGATGGGCGCTTAGGTTGCTTCTGTATCGTAGCTATTGTAAACAATGCTGTAATGAACATAGGGATGCATATATCTGTTCAAATTAATGTTTTTGTCTTCCTTGAAAAAATAACCAGAAATGGAAATAGTGGATCCTATCATAGTTTTTAATTTTTAATTCTTTGAGGAACATCCATACAGTTTTTCATAGCGACTGCACCAATTAACATTCCCACCAACAGAGCTTGAGGGTTCACTTTTCTTCTCATGTTCATCAACATTTATTTGTTGTCTTTTTAATGATGGCCATCCTGACAGGTGTGAGGTGATATCTCACTGTGGTTTGGATTTGCATTTCCTTGATGATTAGTGATGCTGATCATCTTTTCTTGTGTCTGTTGACCAACTGCATGTTTTCTTTGGGAAAATGTCTATTCAGGTCTTCTGCCCATTTTTAAAATGGATTGTTTGTTGAGTCATATGAATTTTTGTGCATTTTGGATGTTAATCCCTTCACAGATATACTGTTTGCAAATATCTTCTCTCATTAACTGGATAGATTTTTCATTTTGTTGATGGTTTCATTCACTGTGCAAAAGCTTTTTAGTTTGATGCAGTGTCATTTATTTTTGCTTTTGTTTCCCTTGTGTGAGGAGACATATCCAAGAAAATATTGCTAAGACTGACATTGCCTATGTTTTATTCTAGGAGTTTTATGGTCTTAAACTTAAGTCTTTAATCCAGTTTGAGTTTATTTTTGTATATTGTGTGAGAAAGTGGTTCAGTTTGATTCTTTAGCAAGTAATGGTCTATTTTTCCTAACATCATTTATTAAAGAGGAGGTCTTTTCTCCATATTATATGCTTGCTTCCTTTGTCATAGGTTAATTGGCCATGTAAGTGTGGGTTTATGTCTGGGCTCTCTATTCTATTCCATTGATCTATGTTCTATTTCTGTGCCAGTACCATACTGTTTTGAGGACTGCTGTAGCTTATGGTACAGTTTGAAATCAGGGAGTGTGATACCTCCAGTTTTGTTCATTCTCAGGATCATTTTGATTACTTAAGCCTTTTGTGTTTCCATAGTTATAGAATTTTTAAAAATTTTAGAATTTTTTATTCTGTTTCTATGAAAAATGCCATTGGTATTTGATAGGGATTGCACTGAATCTATAGATTGTTTTAAACTTTGCAATGTTTCACATTTAGTGACTACTGGGTGTGGTGAATGTGTTGCCAAGCTTTGGGCCTGCCCAGTCCCTTTGAACACCCTTCTTAATTTAGGACTTCTCCATGTTGTGACTCCTGACCCTGTGGGCCTGCTTCCCCAGCTTCCCTTGAATCTAGGGCATTAGTATGTGGCTCAGGCTCTGGCAACCAACTGTAAGATGTCACTTCAGAGGCAAATACCATAAAGAAAGGGGTGCCATGCAGATTTCCTTCTAGCAAGGGTGCTGACAGATCGATATCTAATCATCTAAGGTGGCTGTGGCATATCGCAGCTGTAAAACCCTATGCTTATCATCAGGTGTTGGGCAGAGAAGCCAGAGCCTGGTAGCTACAGTAATAGCATATTCACCAGCAGAGTTTGATGGTATAATTTGCACATTATGCTTAGCTGGCTAGTCTCTGAATTTGATTCTCTGATCCTCCTGAAGATCCTGAAAGGGACCACAGATTCTTCAATAAACTCTTTTTCTGCTTAAATTAGCTTGACGGTGTTCAGTTTGCAACTGTGACAGATAAAATTAGATTGTTGTGTACCCTGTGGCTTCAATTTTTAAGTTGCAACTGCTTTTAAATGACTCTTCTCTCCAATCTCTCAAATTCACACATTACAATTGAACTATGAAACATAAGAAATTTATGCATATCATTAGGGCCCAACATTAAAGACAACACAAAGCAAGTAGTCCTAAACATTTATATTCAGGGCAGGCCCGCTCTCAGTCTTAATATTCTCTAAGTAATCCCATCACTTACAACATGTTGCAAACTTGATAAATTCCAACCAGTTAAAGGATATTTGACAAAGAGAGTGGCCTCTTGCCAAAGTGGTCTCTTCCCAGGGCAGCTCCCTGAAGTCTAATGGTCAGGCTCAGGTCAGCCCTGTGTGAGGCAAGAGGCAGCCGTGTGTAAAACCTGGCATCGTATCTATCAGACATGCCTTTGCTGACTTTGGCCTGTGGCTCTGTCTCTTCCTCCCTCAAAACTCCATCACATATAAACACACACATGTTTTGCTCTTGAAAGTGAAAGTGAAGGTCGCTCAGTCATGTTCAACTCTTTGTGACCCCATGGACCATACAATCCATGGAATTCTCCAGGCCAGAATACTGGAGTGGGTAGCCTTTCCCTTCTCCAAGGTAATCTTCCCGACCCAGGGATTGAACCCAGGTCTCCCACATTGCAGGCGGATTCTTCACCAGCTGAGCCACAAGGGAAACCCAGGAATACTGGAGTGGGTAATCTATTCCTTCTCCAGCGGATCTTCCCAACCCAGGAATCAAACTGGGGTCTCCTGCATTGCAGGCGGATTCTTTACCAACTGAGCTATGAGAGAAGCCTGTTTTGCTCTTAGTGATAGACTTTTCCATTCTGTAATAATCGTTTTATATCTTTGATTGAACAGTTAATCCCTCAGAGGTAAGAAGCACATTTTGTGTTTCTTTTGTATTTCTCACAGCACTGAACAGACTGTCCTGAACATACCGAGGGTTTGTTTAACACATATTTGCTGATTGATTTCTCTTTGGGTTATGGAATGTAAATTACGTGGTTGTGNATTGAGGGCAGGAGGAGAAGGGGACGACAGAGGATGAGATGGTTGGATGGCATCACTGACTAAATGGACATGAGTTTGAGTAAGCTCTGGGTGTTGGTGATGGACAGGGAGGCCTGGTGTACTGCAGTCCATGGGGTTGCAAAGAGTCGGACATGACTGAGCGACTGAACTGACTGACTGACTGACTGACTGGGTTTGGTCCCACCTGCCTGGGGCCAAAAGGTTTTGTAACACTGTACTACTGGGTTTCTAGACAGTATTTCTAGGCAGCAGGCATCCTCATCTCCATTCCTAGCCAAAGCCATCAATACCACCTCAGACTTTAAAACACCTAACCCTATTGCCTGACTCCCCAACCTACCTTTACCTTGGTTCAGGTCCTGATGCTATCTTACAGCTTCAGCCTCTTTCTGCCTCTAGTCTCTAACCTCCTTCCCCTGTATCCACATGGAGGGCAATTATTGCTATAAAAAAGCAAATAAAATCACATCATGTCTCTAAGAATCTCTATTGGATATCTAAACCTATTTATCTGTGGTGTTTCTATATCTAAAGAGGGAAACCTGGTTATGAGACTATTGCAGTCTGGTGAGAGATGTTGGCTGTGTGAATTGCTACACAAAATGTGGACAAGAGTTATCTCTAAATATTTTGTATTCATTTATCAAACAAATATTTATTACATGCCTGCCATGTGACAGGCACCATTCTAGGCCCCGTGGACATGAGCAAACAACACGAAGTACAGATCCTGCCTTCTTGCAGTTCACAGTACATAGAATGGTTTGTATTTTATAGGTCACTTTGGTCCCTGAGTTTTGCTGAGAGGCTATACGGGTTAGGTGGAGATGGGCATGAATGGAAGCAGGGAGCGAGGCAGGACAACAAGATATTGGCTCTGGCTGAGTTGTTGGTGGCTTGGCTATGGGTCAGATTGACTGCTTGCTGACAGATTGGCTGGATATGAAGGTGAGTAGAAGGAAGGAATCAAGGATGATTTAGGGTGGAAGATGATGCAATATGCTGAGACAACTGGGAAAGGAATAGATTTGAAAAGACAAGTTGAGTTCAGCTTTGGACATGTTAAATGAGAGATGCTAGTCACTTCAGTGGGAGATGACAAATGGCAGTTGGAGAAATCAGTCTGGAACTCCGGGAGAGGTCCTCGCTGCAGATCTACATTTGTGAGTCATCAGCATGTAAATGATATAATAGTCATGGGACTGGCAGGGAACACCAGGGAGAGAGTGTAACTAGATCAGAGAAGAGGGTGAAGGACAGCCCTTGAATATGCCAGCATTTACCAGTAGAGAAAACAGGGGCTGAGGAACCTGGAGTGAGGTTCGAGGGAAACCAGAAAGGTAAAGCTTCCCTGGCTCAGTAGAGGAAGGTGTGTCCAGATGAGGGATTTGGTCAGCTGTGCCCAACATCTCTGAGAGATGCAGTAAGACAAGGGTATAAAAGAGATAGGACTGGATAACCAACAAGGACCTACTGTATGGCACGGTACTCCATATTTTGGAATAACCTATTAAAGAATCTGAAAAACATACATATATATATAGAATTGAATATATACACAATAGTTATATATATATAAATATAAAACTGAACCACTGTGCTGTACATTGGAAACTAACATGACATTGTAAATCAACTGTGCTGTTGTTCTTTAGTCGCTAAGTCGTAGCCAACTCTTTGTGACCCTATGGACTGTAGCCCACCAGGCTCCTCTGTCCATGGGATTTCCCAGGCAAGAATACTGGAGAAGGTTGTCATTTCCTTCTCCAGAGGATCTTCCTGACCCAGGGATTGAACCCATGTCTCCTGCATTGGCAGGCAGATTCTTTATCTTTGAGCCACCAGGGAAGCCCAAAAATCAAATACATGTCAATAAAACATTTTAAGTGAGAAAAAAGAGATAGGAACAGAGGATTTGACAATATGCGCGTTATTGTGGTGACTATGACCAAAACAGTTTTGGACCTAAGCCTGACTGGAATACAGGGAGGGGAGGGTGAGAACGTGTAGTTGGCAAGAGTACATAGCTTCTGAGAAGTTTTGCTGAGAGGCTAGATCATCGATGTTTTTGTTTTTTCTGTATATTTGTATACAGAAATTTATATATTTGTATATAAGTTTGTATATTCTTATTTCCCAGGAATGAACATTTAATACTTCTGTTTTATTATTATTATAGATTGCAGATAGCACTCCCCTGTCTATAAGAGAAGGACAAACTCCCCAGTAGAACACTGCAAACCCTCATCTTCCCTCTTCTGTGATCTTTCCAACCTCAGGCTTGCTGTTCTCCACAATCACTGATCTCCCATAGGCTGCAGTCACTCTTGCTGGCTTCCATCATGAATAAAAGTCTCGTACCAGCATATGATCCAGCAATCCCACTCGTGGGCATATACCCAGACAAAACCGTGGTTTGAAAAAATACATGCACCCCTATTTACAACAGCCCAAACATGGAAACAACTTAAACACCCATCTACAAATGAGTGGATAAAAAAGACATGGAATGTATATATAATGGATTACTTAGCCATAAAAAGAATGAAATAATGTCATTTGCAGTAACATGGGTAGACCTAGAGATTATCATACTAAGTGAAGTAAGTCAGAAAGAGAAAGACAGACAGAGAGAAAGACCAATGCCATATAATATCACAAATACCATATAATGTCACTTATATGTGGAAGCTAAATATGACACAAATGAAACAGAAACAGATTCACACATACAAAGAATAGACTTGTGGTTGCTAAGCAGGAGGGCAAGGGGAGGGAAGTATTGGGAGTTTAGGATTAGCAGATGCAGACTATTATATATTATATGGATAAACAATAAAGTTCAACTGTATACCACAGGGAACTGGAAAAAGAATATACATGTATAACAGCATCACTTTGCCATACAGCAGAAATCTACACAACATGGTAAATCAAATGTTATTTCAATAAAATTTCTAGAAAAAGGAAAAAAAAGTTTGATGCTGGACATTAGCTGTGGCTCCTATTTGCCTCAGAATCCCTAAGCCACCCCACTCCACACATGGCCAGGGTCATTTGCTTACACACTTAGCATCCACACAGTTTCACTCACGCATCAGTCCCACAGCTGCAGACAAAAGTTCTTTTCTGCTTTCCACTTCCCGGCTCTTAGAATGGCAGGATGGGATAATAGGGAAAAGAATAGGGCCTCAAAGTCAGAGGGACGTGGGTTCCTTTCCTTATCTGCCACTCATTAACCGTATGATCTTGGGCAAGTTTCCTAAGGGCTCTGTATCCTCATCTGTAAAACAAGGTTAGTAAAACTCACATCCATTCAGTTTTGTGAAGCTTGGCATAAAGTAAAGCAGTATTTGTGGCGGCTAACTTTGCGTCAGCATTGCGCGGACGCCTGGAGCCACAATAGGTGAGAACTAAGATGCTTCAGAAATGTGACCCGGTAGCAGGGGCCCCTCACATGACCCCGAGATGCCAGACAGTGTCTCTCTCCCCGCCCAGGGCGTGTGCAGGTCCGCTGACCCGTCTTTCCAGTCACCCCACACTCCGGGTCTGTGATCATGCACCCCCCACCCATAGCAGAGCCTGACGCGTTGGCTCATGCGCCTTTCCGCCGCAGCCTCTTGCCACGGACCACACGTCTCATCCTCGGCGCCTGGCCCCGCCCCCCGCCCCAGGCGCGCCCCTTCAGCTTGCCCACTCCCGGTCTGAACGGCCGCGCCCGCGGGCCGTAAGCTCCGACTGGCTGCGCCGCGGCGGCGGGCGGCCCGTAGGCGCACACACCCTCCCCGCCCAGCCAATGGGCGTGCGCGCGTCACTGACCCGGCGGCCCGCGAGCCGGCAATCCCTCAATAAGCCACATTGTTGCACGAAACTCCAGCACAGGAGTCCCAGGCCGCCGCTAGCACCGCCGTGACACCTAGCCGAGAGGATCCGCGGGCGAGCGCAGCCCACGTATGAGCCGGAGAGGTCCGGTCGCACTAGTGAAGCCGGACTTCGATTCTTTCTCAAGTTGAGTCTTAGTGATCTTGTGGCTGAAGTTAGTACTTTGACAGTGGGACATCCCAGCAAGTCGCCGGGAGTGACTCTTGGTCTCCTTTCAGCAGTTGCGACTACCAAAACCTGTTTTTAGAGACCCGAAACCCTCCAGCCGGGCGCGCCATCGTGTGCTTTCTTTGTGTGCTTCCCGGACTCACCAATCCCGGCCGCCAAGCCCAGGTACAAAGCGGTCCGACCGCGCCGCTCTCCTACCCCGCACGCGCTCCGGCCTCGGCTTCCCAACTCTGTTCCGTCGGGAGTTGGCAGGATGATTGCCTCACATCTGCTCGCCTACTTCTTTACGGAGCTCAACCACGACCAAGTGCAGAAGGTAAGTGAGCGCGGCAGGGGCGGCTGGCTCTTCTCTGAGGACATTACTTTGTCCGCGGGTCTCTTGCCGGGTCCCGGCCGGCTAGGAATCTCCTCTGAGACCGTGCGGGGACCCGCTTTCTCCCCATTCTGGGCCGCGGACGCGGAAAATAGCAGGACGGCGGGGAAAAGCCCAGGGCTGGAGGAGCCACGTCCGCTAGGCACCGGCCGGCGTGTGCGCGCGTGCGAGGCCCCGGGGCTCGCGCACCGCGCGCCGCTCCCTCTGCTATCCCGAGCGCGCTCGCGCTCGCGCTCGCCCCCACCCCCGCCCCTGGAGGGGCGGGCCACCCTGCACGTAGTCTGTGACTGCTGGCTCCACGTGGGAGGAGCCCCCCTTTCGCAGCGTGTGTTCCGGCCAGAGCACGTGGGGAGAATCGTGGCGGGTTTGGGGGAGAAGACTCGGCTCCCGCGCTAAAGACGGCATTTCGGGGACCTACGATTCCCTCTAGCGTTCCTCACGGCCTCGTGGGAAAAGATCACACGGGAAAAAGCTGGGAAACGGGCAGAGAAACTTCTGCCGCCGCGCCCCCTTTCCGGAACTGAGGAGCCCGGAACCGAGGCTCCGCTAGGGACGTACGCCCCCTCCTCCCCTCACCCCCCAGCGCCGGGCTCCGGACCGCCCCGCCTCGTGTACCCTAGCCCCGGGCCCGCCTCCAAATGGGGGACGGACTTTGGATATTACTTTTGGTGTTCCCAAAAGTTTCTCCAAGAGGACCAACTCCACAACCCCCTCGTTCTTTTGCCGTCTTCCTGGGGATTTTTGTCGTTCTAGAAAGGAGCTTTTTCCAGTTGTAGGCCTCGACCTGTCTGCCCACTTTCTCTCTCAGCAGTGCCCCCAAATCCGAGCTTTTGCTCGGGCCGGGTCTTTTACCTAAAACGAACCTCCTGCCTCGCCGGGGAGCCTGGCTCTCTGTGCCTCTGGGTATGGAGTGGGGGTGGGGCTAGCCAGGGCCCCAGGCGCTCTCTGGGGGAGAATTGAGTTTCTGAAATGCTCGAGATTGCGGGATTGGCTCCTGCCCTGGGCCTCAGCTAGGATGTGAGACGAAGGGGTGGGCGGGGGTGGAGGGTGTCTAGATCTGTGAGTCAATGACGGAACATTGCTCAATTACATACTTGAAATTTCTTAGTGGGAACACATTTTGGGGAAAATGTTTTGACATTATCTTTCTGTGGGGTGACCTGCTCATACTCTCTTTCTGGTTGATCCTGAGAGCGAAGGAGAGGATGGTGGGTCGCCATCTCAGTGTTTTCAGAGCCGTGGCAGATGAATTCCAATATAACATGAAGTTTCCTAGCCTCAAACTGGAGTAGGGAGCAGACGGCAGCTGGTTTAGTTGAGTTTTACTCTGCTTATAAGTGACTGTTGCTCTCTAACTCAATCCAGGGATGAGGCTCAGCACTTTAATTTCGTTTATTTAAGTACCTGTCTGTCAGAGGCAGACTCTTAGCCTTGAGCTTATTTGCCCAAGAAGTGAGTTAACCCTTGTGGAAGACTATCATTTCTTGGCAAGTCCTCGAATTCAAAGCTTGGTGTTGTTTAGTCAACCAAGTCGTGTCCGACAGTTTGCAACTGCAGGATGTCAGGCTCCTCTGTCCTTCACTGTCTGCCGGAGTTTGCTCAAATTCATGTCCATTAAGTTGGTGATGCTGGGGCTTCCCAGGTGGCTCAGTGGTAAAGAATCCGCCTACCAATGCGGGAGACGCAGTAGATGTGTAATTCCTCTAAATTTAGGTAATTCCTCTAAATTACCTGAGTCGGGAAGACCCCCTGGAGGAGGAAATGGCAACCTGCTCCAGTATTCTTGCCTGGAAAATTCCACGGACAGAGGAGCCTGGTTGTAACCTCAGTCCGTGGGGTAGCAGAGTTGGACACGACTAAACAACTAAACATGCATGAATTGGTGATGCTATCTTACCGTCTCATTCTCTGCCACCGCTTCTTTTGCCTTTAGACTTTCCCAGCATCAGGGTCTTTCTGATGAGTTGACTCTGCATCAGGTGGCCAAAGGAGCTTCAGGTTCAGCAGCCCGCCTTCGGATGAATATTCAGGGTTGATTTCTTTTAAACTGGAAGGTTATTAATTCAGGGGCGGTCTTCTCAGTTGGGTGAAATATTGCCCCAGGACTTCTAAATTTACTCACTCCTTGTACAGTGAATGGAACCTAGGTCCACAAATTTACCCTCCCCCAAGCCAGAGGATGAAAGCTAGGACTGGAACCGTACTGGCCTGGAATGGGGAGTGGTCATCCCTTTAGTCCCAGATTGTAAAGAGAATTACCCAGGATATGTAGAAATGAGTTCTAATCTCTGTTTTGTGGTTTATTAACCACAGGACCCTGAGCAAGTCACTGTGCTTCTTTGGACCGCCAACTTTTTTTTTTGTAAAACAAGGACGATAAACCTCAAGTTTCTCCACTTTAGGAAGTTGTGATGATTAAGCACAACAATGTAAAAAGTTCTTTATTGTGGGTTTCTCTGCACTTGAAGCTAGCTGCCTTTCAGCGGGTGAAGTGTCTCAGGGACACTTGGGTGTATTGCCTCTAAATTACCAGTGGGGGCAGAATTGAGTCAGGCCTTAACTCAGCAGTTGCGGAAGCTGGAATTTAGTCTCCCAGTTTAGGTGAGCAGTAAAAAAGTTGGAGAAAAAAAAGATGAGAGTGAAAAAGTTGGCTTAAAACTTAACATTCAGAAAACTAAGATCATGGCATCTGGTCCCATCACTTCATGGCAAATAGATGGGGAAACAGTGGAAACAGTGACAGACTTTATTTTTTTGGGCTCCAAAATCACTGCAGATGGTGACTGCAGCCATGAAATTAAAAGACGCTTACTCCTTGGAAGAAAAGTTATGACCAACCTAGACAGCATATTAAAAAGCAGAGACATTACTTTGCCAACAAAGGTCCATCTAGTCAAAGCTATGGTTTTTCCAGTAGTCATGTATGGATGTGAGAGTTGGACTATAAAGAAAGCTGAGCACTGAAGAATTGATGCTTTTGAACTGTGGTGTTGGAGAAGACTCTTGAGAGTCTCTTGGACTGCAAGGAGATCAAACCAAGCAATCCTAAAGGAAATCAGTCCTGAATATTCATTGGAAGAACTGATGCTGAAGCTGAAACTGCAATACTTTGGCCACCTGATGCAAAGAGCTGGCTCATTGGAAAAGACCCTGATGCTGGGAAAGACTGAAGGCAGGAGAAGAAGGGGACAACAGAGGATGAGATAGTTGGATGGCATCACCAACTCGATGGACATGAGTTTGAGCAAGCTCTGGGAGTTGGTGATGGGCGGGGAAGCCTGGCGTGCTATAGTTCATGGGGTCGGAAAGAGTCAGACATGACTGAGCAACTGAACTGAACTGAACTTAGGTGAGCAAAGCTATTTGATTCCAACTGCGTTTAGGAAATAGGAAGCAAATCAGAGACAATATTTTGGAAACATCTTTTAAACCATGTCTCTTACATCTCCAGCATTGGCAGGAAGGTTCTTTATTGCTAGTGCCACCTGGGAACATAGAGCAGTGACTCTTAAACTCTTAAAAGTTGATCCTTGAAGGAAAAATTAGGCGAGAAGGTTGAAGCTTGAATTTTAGAGTTTTTTGAAAAGGTCTTGATTTGAACTCTTCTGAAATCCCTGTCATTTTATATATTCTGAGTTGTAGTCTGAGGCGGGGAAAGTTTAGGTTCATCTGCCCAAAACTAGCCCCATCGGAATCACTTGTCTCCTGATAGACGAGTCCAGTGTTTTGTGCTGTTAGGAGAGGAAGGGTTATTTGCTCACGTTTGCTAACTTGACAGTTTGAAACTCAAGAGCAAACACATGTAGCATCTACTGTGTACCAGGCAGTTTTAAGCTCTTTATATCTGTTATCAGCATTTGCTCTTTACATCTGCTCATTAACATTCACAGCAACACCATGAAGTAGATACTATTATCAGCATTCCCGTTTTACTGGTAAGCAATTGAGGCACAGGTGACTTGTTCAAGGTCACTAACTTTTTCGTAAGAGCAGGGAATTGAAGCCAAGCCAGTTGGGTTCCAGAGGTCCTTGCTCATGACCATACTCCCTGCCTCTGGGGCTGCCTCTGGGACCATTAGCAGACTCCATCCTGGTCTGTGTCTGTGTTCACGTTTGGATGCTGGCAGCACCTTCATCCAGCATGTCCCGGAATGCAGCCAGCTCTCCTCTTGGTCAGATTAATGGCACCCGTGCTCTCTGACTTTTCTGGTCGGGATCCCTGGACTCATTTAATTGCCTTTCCTTTCTGATCGCTATACCTTTGTCAGCTGGTCTCTGGGTTACTTCAGAGGCCTCGTGGGGCTTGTTTCCATTCTCTTTCTAGAGTTGGGCTAGATCATTTCGGAAGTCTTTTAAGACCTTGTACTATAACTTTATATGTGGAATCTAAAATATGACACAAATGAACTTATTTATGAAACAAACAGACTCACAAAGAACAAACTTATGGTCACCAAAGGGGAAAGGAGTGGGGAAGAGTAAATTAGGAGTTGTGGTTAGCAGATACAAACTGTATATAAAATAGATAAACAAGGTCCTATTGTATAGCACAGGAACTATATTCACTATGCTGTAATAGGGCTTCTCTGGCGGCTCAGTGGTAAAGAATCCACCTGCCAGTGCAGAGGCCATGGGTTTGATTCCTGATCCCCTAAGACCCCACATGAAGCAGAGCAACCAGGCTCATTCACCACAACTGTGAGGCTGCGCTCTAAAGCCCGGGAGCCGCACCTGCTGAGCCCATGTGCTGCGCCTCCTGAAGCCTTCACGGTCTAGAGCCCGTGCTCCGCCACGAGAGAAGCCACAGCGATGAGAAGTCCAGATACTGCATCTAGAGAGTAACACCTGCCGCCTGAAACTGGAGAAAAACCTGTGCAGTGTCAAACAGCCAGCATGACCAAAAATAAATAAATAAATAAATAAGTGCTTTAAACAATATCCTA